GGGCAATCTACTTCTGTAGTGATACTGCCTCAGAAACCCAAGGAGGGGTCGCTATGAGTCGGGGCCGACTCGATGGCACATAACAACAACAACAACATTCAACAACGACCCAAAACAAAAACCCACTGGCATCATGTTGACTCGACTCACAGTAACCCTATAGGACAGAGTAGAACTGCCCCATAGGGTTTCCAAGGCTGTAAATCTTTATGCAAGTAGAATGCCTCATCTTTCTTCTGTGGAGTGGTTGGTGGGTTTGAACCACCAATCTTTTGGTTAGCAGCTTATGTTTTAACCACAGTGTCACCGAAGCTTCTTATTTAACAATGACAGGCACAGTAAAAAAAAAAAAAAAATTGTTTTCAAGTTGATTCAATTCATACATGCTTCAAAGTAGAACGGTTGCACTCCACAGGGTTTTCTTTGCTGTAATATTTATGGAAGTAGATCCCCAGGACTTCCTTCCACAGCAACAATGAGTGAATTCAAACCAAAAAATACCCATTGCCATAGAGTCACTTCTAGCTGAAAGCAACCCTATAGGAAGTCCTATAGGAGCCCTGGCAGCATAGTGCCTAAGGCACTTGACTGCTAACCAGAAGGCTGGCAGTTCAAACCCACCAGCCACTCGTTGGAAGGAAGATGGGGCAATCTACTACCATAGTGATACTGCCTCGGAAACCCAAGGAGAGGTCGCTATGAGTCTGGCCTGACTCGACGGCACATAACAACAACAACATAGGACAACACAGACTACCCCATAGGGTTTCCAAAGCCGCAATCTTTACAGAAGCAGACTGCCACATCTTTTTCCTGTGAAGCAGGCTGGAGGGTTCGAACCACTGCTTTTTCGGTTAGTAGCTGCAAGTTTAACCACTGCACTATCAAGGCTCCTCACTTCGACTAACAGCCAAGAGCAAAACCATTTGCACAACCCAGGGACCCTGACTGGCACACATAATGCAACACAAATGTCAGCACCATTCCCCATCTTTCTAAACAGCTTCTCTTGAACATATCCCCATATTTATTACAGGGCCAATCAGCAAGATTAAATGACTTCCCACATTCCAACAGTTTAGTAGTAAAGAAAATATAATAAATACGTTATATGAGGGAGAAAATAAAGTTGAGAAGGAACTGATGGAAATTAAAGCAGGAACTACAGACTGGAGATTCAGATGGAGGCAAAGAGTAGGTTGTGAAGTAGAAGTCATTAGAACAGAGAGGATTTATTATAGGTAGTAACATGAAGAAAAATCTTCATACCATGATTTCAATACTATTTTTAATGTGCATGTATTTCCTTAAAAAATACTGCACTGACAATTTATTAATATATAACTTCCATATGGGCCAGAAAAAGATTACACTGCTATTTCTTACAGCATAACATACTTCTTAAATTGACAATTTGGGGTCTAAAGAATACAAGACTCGGAAGACATGGCAACTTTCTTCACACTTAAAAAGCTAGCACACAGGTTTGCTCTGTAACATGCGGAAAGGTAATACCTACAGAAACGCACAAAAGTTACATGGAGGCAGATTTCTGTTTCAACATGAATTACAATTCAAGGTATTCAACCACTTTAATTTATATAATGCTGTATAGTTTGCGAAATACAAATTTTCATTTAACCCTAGAAATGATCGGAAAAAAAAAAAAAGTAGTTTCCTGTTATATTAGAAAACTGAGTCTCCAAGAGCCTTGTTAAGAAACAGTGGCAACTTAAGAAATCAGGACTGAACTACTGGACTTGAAAGCGAAGGACCACATCCTTGGGAGACAACAAAGAAAGTCAACTGGCAAAATATATTTCATAAATATGTTCAACAGCTTAGTCTGATAAGTGGTGTCTGGGGTCTTAAAAGTTTGCAAGCAGCCACCTGAGAAGCAACCTCTGGTCCTTTCCCACCTGGACTAAAAGAGAAGGAAGAAAACCGAAGACTCAAGAAAGCAATTAGTCCCAAGGGGTAATGGACCACATGAACCACAACCTCCTTTAGCCTGAGATCAGAACTAGTCGTGCCCAGCTATCACTACGGACCACTCTGACCAGAACTACAATACAAGGTCCCAGTTAGAATAGGTAAAATATGTTGAACAAAATTTAAATTTAAAAAAAAAGAGAATTTCAATCTTACTAGTCTGAAAGAGACTGGAGGAACTCCCAAGACTATTGCCCTTACACAAACCTTCTAACTTGAAACTGAAGACAGTCCCAGAAGCCACCTTTCAGCCAATTAATAGAAGAGTCTATAAAATAAACAATAATACTGGGGACGTTTGTGCTCCTTAGAAAAAGCAACTATAAGAGACAAAAAGGGCAACTTTGGCCCAAAACCAGAGAAGAGAAGACAGGTAAATTGGAAGAATGGAAACAGAGAATCCAGGAAGAAAAGGGAAGAGTACTAACTCATCAAGGGAATTCCAACCAATGATACAGAACAGTATGTGTATGGACTATTGACTGGAAAGCAATTTTGCTCTGCAAACTTTGACCTAAAGCACCAAAAAATGCTCAAAAAACAAACAGTGGCAAACCAAGACTACCACTCAAGTCCTCAAATCTAAAGAACAGGTTGCCTAAAAGTAAAATGCTTCCCATGTCTAGATAAATTCAACACCATTACCAAATGGCCATCTAATCAAGTATAATAAACAAACAAACAAAAAAAACCTCACTGCCCTGGAGTCGATCCGACTCACAGCAACCCCTCCTTGGGTTTCCAAGGTAGTATCATTACATAAGTAGATCACCCAATCTTCCTTCCCAGGAGTGGCTGGTGGGTTTTAAAACGTCAGCCTCCTGGTTAGCAGTCAAATGCCTTAGGCACTATGCCACCAGGGCTCCTTAATCAGGTATAGCAGCCAAGATATTCTAAAGATTCTTTTGGATGCAAACCTTTAAAAATACTGGTGGTCAATCTATATACCATGAAAAGATTGAATAATGAATGTTTGCTAGAATGCAAGCTCCAGGAAGGCCTTCTGGTCTGTCTTCTTGACAGCTACATTTAGTCCTGGCATATAATACATGCTCAGTAAATAAATATTTGCTAAGCTTGAATAGTCTTAATCACACACATCACTACTATAAAACAAAAGACCTTACTAAAGTTCCCCACAACCGAAAGGCCTAATAAACACAAAATCCACTTTTAAACTGCATCACACAATTAAAACTGCATCAGTTTGTAAAATAAACTCGATTATTTAAAAAATGCAAATTTTTCAGCTAACCTAAAATATGACCATTAAAAGTAAAACACAAAATCTTATAAATTCTAAATTTGGACAAATTAATTTTCAAAGCAACATTCTTTGCTTAAGGCATCAACTAACATTTTAAGTGTGTTTAAATACAGTAAGAAGAAATTTAAACAGCTGTTTTTGTTTAAAAGCAATTTGCACCCAGATCTCTACTTACACCACAATTTTAAACACTAGGTAGATACTTCAAAGAGATCTGCTAATTTTACAGGTACATATGTGGTACTGAGAATTCCACATAACCCAAACTCAGAAGTACTCAGCATTCATTTGGCATTACTGAAAACTAAGATGGATAGGAAAAGAACACCCAATCGAAACTTCACTCTGTAATATTCTAAAACTTTAAGGCCTAGAATTTCCAGACATCTCAATAAGTATTTCCAAAACCAAAACCGCCATGGAGTCTATACTCACAGCGACCCTACAGGACAAGAGTAGAACAGCCCCACAGGGTTTCCAAGGCTGTAAATCTGCCTCATCTTTTTCCTGCGAGCAGCTGGAGGGTTCAAACTGCTGACCTTTTATTTGGCAGCCCAATGCTTTAACCACAGCACCACCAGAGCGCCTTCAAAGAATATTACAGCCTATAAAACACTCAAACGATATTTTTAATTCATTTTGCTTAAATAAGTACATATCAATGCAAACATGTTTTGACAATAACATAACAACAGTATAAGGTGTAAGAACTACACAAAAGTTTTACTCTTATTTCACTAAAAGTGTAAACTTTTTAAAGATTTCAGAACAAAGATTCTGAAAAACCGAATTAATTTTAAAGTAAGCAGTTACAGGTTAATAACAATGTGAGAATTTACTAAAACATTCACTTAGTCAACACTGGGCTAGACCAACTATTTATTTTATATGGTATTAGTAACTAGGTGTTATCACAAAATCAACTGAGAAATCATAATCTTGTCACCTTTTTCCCCTAAAATTATGACTTTTGAGATATTATACTGAAAACTATGCCACAGAAAAAATCACAGCGACCATCTTACTTATCTTCAGAATTTTAGAATGTAAGTTTTCACATATTAAAAGAATAACTTTTACAGAAAGGCTGCTTTTCCCATCACTGGATTACATGAAGCATTTGCAATCTAGATCCAACTCTAAAATCCTTAATCAGGTGGTATAGTGGCCAAGATATTCTAAAGCTTCTTTGGGATCTACACCTTTAGAAATATTGGTGGTCAATCTATATACCATGAAAAGATTGAATACTGAATGTTTTCTAGACTGCAAGCTCATGAGAACGAGACTCTGACTCCCCTTTACACATTAGTCCCTAAACTGCAGTCTATTTGTAAATCTTCAACACCAAAACCTCTTTACAAAGTTTTCCAATTAAGACAAAGCATACAACCCCTACGTTTACCCAAACTAATTGTGCTGCGAAAGCAAAGAGCAGTTGAGAAAAACCTGTTAATATATTAACTCAACAAGTAAAAAACGTTTAACTCTTCCTCAGAAATCCGCTGCCCCTCCCCCAGGAGAAAAGCTATGCTTGACCTGTTGCTTTGTTCCTCCGACCCTCTAGAAAGGTGTCATAGGCGCGCAAAAACGCCTCTCCCTACTCGACGCACCATCTAAATTACGTTCTCTAGCCTAGGTTGAAGACGTCGGTGGTTTTGAAAAATCCAATCACCATTTTCTCTCTCCAGGAGATGTCGCCAGTGCAGGCAAAGACAAACGGACTGACGGCGGGGCTCACCTGATCACAGGGCTGTAGGGGCTCCGGGAGCGTCGCCAGCTGCTACTGCTGTAGGGACTGGGGGACACGTCGCCACCCCGCTCATAGGAGCTGTGGCGGCTGTAGCTGGGGGAGCGGCGGCGGCTGTAGGGGCTCGGAGAGCGCGGCAGCCGCCGAGAATAGGGGCTGCTGCCACCTCCTGCCGGACTAGGGGACTTGCGGCTCCTCAAGCTCTGCGAGGCCCTGTGAGACACTGGGCTGTCGTCCCGGCCTCCCAGAGGGCTCAGGGACCGCTGCCGCCGCCTGTAGGCCTTGGGTTCGGTCTTGTCCTCCCGGTAGGCCTTGGGCGGCTCCTTGTAGGCCGAAGGAGGCTCCTTGGAGGACTTAGTCCGGCTTCGGTGGGCCTTCAAATCTCGATCCTTCCGGCTACTACTGCTGCTGGACGTGGCCGAGGCGCTTTTCCGCCGGCCGCCACTACTGCTACTGCTGCCGCTCTTGGCGGCCTCGGGGCGTTCCTCGCCACTGTGGCTGTGGCGGCTACGAGACTTCGAGGCCTCGCTGCCTCCGCGCTGCCCATCCCGCCGTCGGTGCTCGCGATGGCGTTCCTTGCTGCGGCCGCTGCTGCTGCGGCGGTCTCGGCGGGGCCTACGCTCCGACCCCTCCCCGCGCCGCTGGGTGCCAGAGGAGGAGGCCGGACTCCCGCCGCTGCCTCCCGTTCCCCCGGCAGCCGTCGCCGCCGTTGCCGCGCTGGCCCCCCCCAGCAGCAGCCCCTGCTCGGACTGGGAGCTTACATCTTCATATTCCACCAGCGGGGTCACACCCCCGCCGCTACTAGCACCGCCACCGCCGTCCTGCTGCGGCTGGGGCAGCGAGAAGACCCGACGCTTCTCCGCCTCCTGCCCGGCGCGGGGCCCGCGACGCCGCTTCTGCCGCCCTCCTGCGCGCCTCTTGCCTCTCGCCAGCCGTTTGACCTCCAGAGGAGGGCCCGGGCTGAAGCAAGAGGAGGAGGCCGCGGCGGCGGCGGCTGCGGCGGCGGCCGTGCCGGGAGTAGCCAGGAAGAGCAGAGGCGGCGGGGGCGGCGGCGGTTGCAGGAGCTGCGGCTGCAGGAGCGGCAACAGCAGCGGCGGCTGCTGAGGGGACAGGAATCGTCTCCGCTTGCGGCGTTCCTCCAACTTCTTCTCCGCCCAGCTCAGGCCCCCGCCTCCCCCCAGCGCCGTGTCCGAGCTGCTCGGCATCGCCTAGAGCCCGCCGCAAAGCGCGGCGCGGGTGCGGCCTTCTCCCGGGTCAAATCCTGGCCATCTCCCCCGCCGGAAACGGGAACAGCGGCGGCAGAGGAACACTTGAGCACCAGGGCCAGCCGGCAGAAGCGCCACGATAATCCGTGTCGGGACTCGGATCCCTGCGTTCCAGGTCACAGTGGGGTACGCAGCGGCCTTCGGGCCTGAGAAAAGCAGGAATCGGGCAACAAATAGGTCACTGTCCTATCCTCGGCAGCAAAATCACCAGATGTGCTGCGCGCGGACCTGAGGGAGAGTTCGGAGTCCTCCAAGTGCCCCCAGGATCGGGGAGCAGTCTCGGCCGTGCTCGCAGCTCGGGCTGGTAGGGCGGGCAGCGCAACGCGGAAGTACCACCTTCGCTGCCGCTTCACTCCATCGCGCCCTGACGTCGGGTGCGAGTTCAGGGGAGGAGAGTGGGCGAGACAACAACACGCCTCCGCCGCCTCGTTCTCCGCGTCGACGTCGTCCTCTTGTGGTGGCGGCGACACACCGCGGGCGCCTCTGAAGTAGCCTGGGCCTGACAACAACTCCCGGCCTAAGGCCTAGCACATTCGGCGGCCCGCGGGGACGGGCGGTGGGGCGGGGCGAGACGGAGACGACCGTCCTGCGGCTCACAGTTGGGCTAGCGAGTGTGCGGGGCTAGGCGGCGGGCTGTTTCCGGGGAGATGGGGGTGGAGGGGACGTTTCTGAGTCTGTGGCGGTGGGTGCGGACTCTGACTTTCTTCCTTAGCCGCCGCGAGCAGAGGTGACGGAGCTACCCTTTTCCTTAGCCCCCCCGCTCCACGAGGAGGCTTCTCGTGTGCGCGGCCGGCCGCGACTCGCTCCTCCCCTTCCCTTTCCACTCTTCGTCAGGAGGAGGAGGGAGGACGATAGGACTTGCTGGTTGGACCTAACCTCCACAACCCCTCCTCGCTTCTCTCTTGCGGCCTTTTCCCTCAGCCCCGACGCAAAGCCGGGGGCGCGCACGCACGTCACGTTCCGAGAAAGCCGAATGTGAGTGGTGGTGAAAGATAAGGAGGTGGGAACGATGTTGCCGCGCACTAGCGTGCTCGCTCCCATCGGCGAGGGAGCCGTACGCCCCGGAAGTTGCATGACGTAGAGCCTCTCCACTTCCGGTGAGGGTGGGACGGTATGCGAAACCAAGGCCGCTCACTCAGCCAGTGGATTCCAACTCATAGCGACCCCCATAGAGTTTTCAAGGCTGGAAATTCTTTAGGGAAGTAGACTTCCTCGTCGTTCTCCCGCAGAGCGGCCAGTGAGTTCAAACTGCCAGCCTTTTGGTTAGCAGCCCAATGTCTTAATCACGGGGCAGTATGTGAAGGAGAATTAAAAGGAAGGAGACGATTGGTATTTAACAGCTAACCAGCAGCCCACTGCTGTCGCCTGTGCCTCTCGGAGTGGTCAAAGGCAGGGCATGCTTGTTACTTAGGTCAATCGCGCATTCCTGATTCCTGTCGTCCGCAGGCTCTTCACGGTCTGCCTATGAATGAAAGGTCACAGTGAGAGCAAGAATCATTGGAAAGTTCGAGAGGAGGCCTTCTGGGCCTGGCAGTCACTCTGGCCCCGAGATTGGGAACAGCTGCGGAGGACCAGGAAGGACTCCTCGCAAAAGAGAGCAGAGTTGACGTCGGCTGACCCGGTCTTACAGCCAACTTTGTGGCCCTGTCTTAATCTAAAACACTTGGGAATTTCGGTTTCAAGCTTCGATAATAACTGAATTGAAGAAACACCTTAAATTAATCCGAGGAATAAATGAAATGTTTGAGCTACTGAAAATTCCAAGGTTATAACCAGGTGCTTTGAAATCAAAACAGCTTGCTTAGATGAGAGTTTCACTCTTGCCATTTCACCACTTTCACCTTAATATCCAAAACTTGTGAGGTTAATAAATATAAACAATCTATGAGCTCACATCTCATTTCCCTCTTGACCAGGATTATTTTTTTATTTATAGACTGGGCACTTACAATAATTAGATTAAAATCTAGGTGGCTCACTTTTAATTGGTTGAAAAGCCAAGCCGTCCATTCAATGATTACATGTAGTCACCCCTTTACAACTTGACTTGTCCAGACCATCAGTTGGTTTTTAGTTCTTAAACAGTTGGTATCTATCCATCATTCATATCTAGGTGTAAATAATTTTATCAGTTTTAACATCCGCTTGCACTGTATCTCAAACTGCATTAAAGAATACAAAGGATGTTTGCTGAAGGATAAAACCTACCCACTGCCATGGAATCAATTCCAATTCATAGCAACCCTATTTGACAGTGTAACTGCCCCATAAGGTTTCTAAAGCTGTAAATCTTTACAGAAGCAGACTGCTTCATCTTTCTATGGAGGATAGACTGGTGGGTTCAAACAGATGACCTTTTGGTGAGCACCCAAATGCTTTAACCCCAGTGCCACCAGAGCTCCTCAGAAGGCAAAACCTAAAACCAAACTCACTGCCATGAAGTCAATTCTGACTCATAGTGACCCCCATTGGGCTCCCTAGGCAGTAAACCTTTGCAGAAGTAGATTGCCCCATCTTCCTTCTGCAGAGTGACTGGTGGGCTTGAACCACCAACCTTCTGGTTAGCAGTTAAATACCTTAGGCACTGCGCCACCACAGCTTCTTTCGGGAGGCAAAGGAATAGGTCATTTTTAAGTCAGAGCATTTCCCATACTAAGTAGGCCATACTGTGGAAACTTTTACGCAGCTAAAAAGAAGAGGTAAGGACATTGGGAAATGATAGACAGCTACGGAGCAGGGCACCTAAAACAAATTGCTGTGTGAAGACCCTAGCTTTCTGCTCAAGACTGGTTAGCAGGTGACTTTTTCCATAAACATAGGTTCTACCCCACAATGCCCCGTCATTGTGCTTTGAAATGCCTGGAGTAATAGAACATAACAAAACCAAACTCACTACCGTCCAGTCGATTCCAACTCATAGCAACCCACTTTGGGTTTCCAAGGCAGTAAATCTTTACAGAGGTGGATTGCCCAGTCTTCCTTCCACAGAGTAGCGGGTGGGTTTGAACTGCCAACCTTCTAGTTGGCAGTCAAATGCCTTAGGCACTATGCCACCAGAACTCCTTGGAGTAATAGAACAAGGTGAGCAAAATAAGAAATTTATCTGCAGTTCCCAGTTCTACTTGAAAATCTCTTACCTTCTATATTACTCTTGCAAAGAAAACTTGATTCAGAGTGAATAAATACGTCCCAATATAGGCTACAAACAAATAACCATGTTCTAAAATATTTTTGGGAGCTCTGGTAGCATAGTGGCTAAAGCACTTGACTGCTAACCAGAAGGCTGGCGGTTCAAACCCACCAGCCACTCCTCGGAAGGAAGGTTGGGCAATCCTACTTCCGTAGTGATACTGCCTCGGAAACTCAAGGAGGGGTCGCTATGAGTCGGGGCCGACTCGACGGCACATAACAACAACAACAAAAAAATATTTTTAGTGGGATTCTGCCACCCACATGTTTCACAAAGATTCTATCTGGGATGGTGTGGTAGTTAAGGTTATGTGTCAACTTGGCTAGGCCTAGTTTTCAGTGGTTGGGCAGCTGGAAGTAGTTATTCCTCATGATAAAGTTGATAATCAACTTCATGGTGGAATCTGCTGGAACAGCCTTAGGGCTGTGGCCTGCTTCCAGTATATAAGGAGAAGTTTTGAGAAAGGTCTCTGCAGTTTTTTGACACACTTGGACCCTGCAGAGTCTTCATTCAGCTGCCATGCCCTGCTAATCCTAGGACTTTTTCTGGACTTGAACTGGTGGCCTGTCATGCTGTTTGATAATCTTGGGATTGTGTTTTTCTACTTGTTGACCTTGGGTTTGCCAGCTCAGCAGCCAACAGCTGCCTGAGTTAAAATCTTCCAAGTTCCATGGGCCAGGAACAAGAGGCAGAACTGAAGCCCAGGTCTAGGAGCTTTTACCCAGCCCCTAGAGCTTGGCGCTTTTAACTCAGATTTCTAGCCTCCTCAAGCTTTAAGAGAATATATCCCTCTTTGTGGGAATATTTTTCTGTTAGAGTGGCACTAGAGAACCAAAACATATGGAGTGGGGAAGAAGAGAGAAAAACAAAGCATTCTGAGCTCCTAACAGACAATGTTGTTAAGTGCCATCAACTTAGTTCTGATTCATAGCAACCCTGTGTACAACAGAATGAAACACTGACCAGTCCTTCACCATCCTCACAATCATTACTATGCTTGAGCTCATTGTTAGAGCCACTGTGTCAGTCCATCTCTTCAAGTGTCTTCCTCTTTTCTGCTGACCCTCTACCAAGCGTGATGCCCTTTTCCAAGGACTGCTCCCTCCTGATAACATACATGTCCAAAGTACATAAGACTGCCATCCTCATTTCTAAGGAGCGTTCTGCTTTTACTTCTCCCAAGACAAACTTATTTGTCCCATGTTGTTTTGTTATTGTTATGTGCCGTCCAGTCGGACCCGACTCATAGCGACCCCTCTTTGGGTTTGCAAGGCAGTATCACTACGGAAGTAGATTGCCCAACCCAGGATCCTTGTTTTTGGCCAGTTCCTTCAGTGCAGCTTAGACTTCTTGGATACCATTGGTTCTTGATCATATGCTACCTCCTGAAAGAGTTGAACATCAACCAATTTTTTTTGGTATAGTGACTCTGTGTATTCCATGTTCTTTTGATGCTTCTTGCATTAGTCAATATTTTGCCTATAGATTTCTTTGATATTGCAACTTGAGGCTTGAAGTTTTTCTTCAGTTCTTTAGACTTGAGCAATGCTGGGTGTGCTCTTCTCTTTTGGTTTTCTAGTTCCAGGTCTTTGCACATTTCATTATAATACTTGATCTTCTTGACCACCCTTTGAAATCTTCTATTCAGCTTTTTTCTTTCATCATTTTTTCCATTCACTTTAGTTACTCTATGTTCAAGAGCAAGTTTCAGAGTTTCCTCTGACATCTTTTTTAGTCTTTTCCTACTTTCCTTTTTTTCTAATGACCTTTTGCTTTCTTCATGTATGGTATTCTTGATATCATCACACAATTTGTCTGATCTTCAGTAATTGATGTTCAGTGCATCAAATATATTCTTCATACGGTCTCTAAATTGAGGTGGGCTATAATCAAGGTTGTATTTTGCTTCTGGTGGACTTTAAAGTTTTCTTCAGCTTCAACTTGAACTTGCATATGACCAATTGATGGTCTGTTGCACAGTCAGCACCTGGCCTTGTTTTGACTGATGATACTGAACTTCTCCA